TAGGCTGTGGAGCTGTGGGGCCTGTAAAGGAGGGTACACCCTTGTGCTCCATGACCTCAGGGCATGTTGTCAGTCAGCGTTGCTTCAGTAAAAACAATTTTTTAATAAGTTAATGGATTCATAAGGTAAAAGAGAATCCACAAGCTCAGTGTATTTATTCTCCTAGAAACCAAGTTCCCCATTAATTTATTTCAGAAGTATCCATTAAGGTCTGGTTTTATTTATTTATGCATACAAAAACGGGGATAGTGGCCAGAGGTGAGAGGATTCACCAGAGATAGAGTAGGGAAAGGGTAGGTGGATTGACTGAAATACACTGCTGAGGGGAGCAGTGGGCAGGAGAGGAGAGGTCTGCTGTGCCATGTGGGTCACTCCCTGGCTGGGGCTTGAACTCGTGCTGCAGGGACTGTGGAGAGCTTTATAGTGCTGTGCTTTAACCCGTTGGGCCACCAGGGAGGGCCCTCAGGCCTATTTTTTTAATTCAAGAAACATCTATGAAGTGGCCAATTTGGGACTAGAACTCAGGACTTGCGATTCCAGCCGCTGGTGCTCACACCACCCGCCTCTAATGACCAGCTCTTAAAAGCTGCATCGGGTTCACCACTGATGTTTTTCCTTTTTGCCAAATTCTTCACAGGATTGTGACCAGATCCATGTTGATGATGTCTCATCTGATGACAATGGCCAGGACCTAAGGTAGGAAAATGTCCCTTTCAGTCAGGTCCCTTCTCTCGGGAAAGGGGAGGGCCAGCTGGTGCCTCCAAACAGAACCTGGGGCTTGTGTCTCTCAGACTTCCAACACCGCCACCAAGTCTCTTCCCTCTCACCTCCTGTCTCTTCCCGTCCCTTCAAATCCCTGAGGCTGAACTTCCCACACCTTGCCCCTGACTCTGCTTAGCTTAATCTCCCAATAGTTTTTTTCCTGCTTCCTAAATTCCAGCCCCATCCCAGAATCACCACTATTAAGAGCTTGGCATCCTCATTAAAAAATACTACTACTTAAAAAAAAAACCAGGCCAGTACCTGACATGGTTTACCTCAGTGCACCTTCACGGTCACTAGATGAAGCCCCTGTCCTCTTCCCCTTCTACAGCTGGGAGAGGGAGGCACAGAGAGGTTAAGTGACCTGCCAGACCTCACACAGCCGCTAGCGGGAGGCAGGAATAACAGGAACCCGGCCCTGCTTCCTGCTCCTGGTGGGACACGCAGGTCTCCCCAGGGTGTCCGCAAGCTCATAGTTGGTATTGTTCTTCCAAGAGCAAAATAACACTGCTGTTCTTCAGGAAGTTCCCTTAGGCCCATTCACACAGCACCCACAAACACCAGGGGTCCTAGAAGCACCGAGGAGGACACCTCTGGCATGCAGCCCCCAGGCCCCCACATCACCCTCCCTCCCTCCCTCCGCCCTCTCCAGCACGTACAACTTCTCCGCGGATGGCTTCCACAGTTCGGCCCCCGGAGCCAACCTGTGCCTGGGCTCCGGGGTACACGGCGGCGTGGACTGGATGAGGAAGCTGGCCTTCCGCTACCGGCGGGTGAAGGAGATGTACAACACCTACAGGAACAACGTCGGGGGTGAGCGCAGGGGAGCGGGGCCTCAGTGGGGGGTGGCTGCCGGACAGGGGGTGCCGCCTCTGCCCCCGGAGGCTCGGGGCCCTTCGCCCATGCGGGCCTCAGGACACCGGGTGCCAGGGGCACGCTGAGGGCATCGGTCGCATTCTGAGCACCTTGCCCCAGTGTGCAGGTCCCGCAAATGGCCGGGGTGGGGGAGCTGACCGTCCCCTACTGTGTCTGACCACGCGGTTCGCAAAGTGTGGGCCTCAGACCAGCATCAGCGTCACCTGGAGCCAGCTACACATGGAGGTCTCCTGGCCCCTCAGGCCTGACCCCAGCCAGCTTGCTGTGCTGAAACACGCCCTCCAGGCGGTTCTGATGCCCCGCCTCAACCCTGTGTTTGAGGACAGGGCTTGGGGGTGGGGGCGGTCAGACTCGGGGCTGGGGGCCAGCCGTAGGGCCCTCCTGGGAGCTTGTTAGAATTGCAGAGCCTCGGGCCCTACCAGGCGGCTGATCAGAACCTGCACTGTTGACAAGATGCTCAGGTGGTCTGAGGAAACAGCAGGGGAAGAGGCTGGGCTCCTAGGAAGCACCTGAGGCCTTTCCAGTCCAGCCTTTCCCAGCCCGGCCCCAGCCTCTGCTGCGGGATGGGTCCTGGTGCTCCCGGGGCAACTCTGATGCCAGCGAGGGTGCGGCCCACCTTGGGGCAGCTGTGCATCTCTGCCGACCAGGCCTGGGAGGGCTGGAGACCAGGCTGGCTTGGTAACCGCCAGCCAGGGTTACAGTTTCCAGAATTCTCCAAGCCAATAGCTCTTAGCAAGAGGTGCTAATGCTTCTTCCCAGGCGGCTTTTGGGGGTGTTTTTGAGTGTCACGATGTCTGGAAGCAGCTGCTGGTCCTAAATTAGGGAAAAGGTCTGAGTGGGTGGCTCACAGCACCCCATCACGTGCACCTCGGCCCCAGAAGCCTCAGAGCTACCTCCTCCCAGCTCACCCCTGCAAAAGGAGTAGTTTCCTGGGATGGATTTAGGTTCTCAAACTGTACAGGAACTCCCTCCAGTCCCTGCACTTCCTGGCTGTGTGTCCTCAGGCAAAACCTTACACTCTCTGAGCCTGTGTCTATGAGATGGGGGTAAAAACAGTTCTGTTTCCCTGGGTTACTGAGAGGCTCGCTGGAGGTGGTAACAGACGCAGGAGGCAGGGGGAGTTTTCAGCTTCTCCCGTCCTCCGATCCCCCTGTAGCCTGCCGGCTCCTTTGGTCGGGTTTTCTCTCTCCTGTTGGTCCTAACGCAGCTGGCAATTGTGAATGCTTATTGAGCGCTTCCTCGCTGCCCGGCTCTGTTTGAAAGAGTTTTCGGCTGATAATTAATTCTTTATGGGATTTCAGAGATAGGTGCTCTTGTGACCCAGGTTGGGTGAAAGTAGAAACTGAGATCAGAGAGGTGAAGTAACCTGCCCAGCCTCACACAGCTGCGGCACAGAGCCACAGTGGAGTCGCGGGCCAGCCTTTCTGCCCTGGCCACACTGCCCCCTCACATCCAGTGTCCACCACAGGGGTGAGGTCAGGGTCTCTGCTTGCTCACATGCCCTTACATGGAGCAGGTGGAGGGGAGCAGGCGTGCTTGAAATGGGGAATGGGGGAGGGGGGACAGGATGGAGTCGGCCAGTGAGGGCCACCTGCTCCCCATCCAGGTTAAGCCCCAGGAAATGCCCAGGGCATCTGTCAGGCTGCTTTGCTCACCCATAAACTGAGGGGAAATTACCCAATGTGTGAACAGGTGAGGGGCTGGCAGGATGCCAGCGGGGCCCCTACCCTGCTCCTTCTCCCTTTGCAGTTTCTGCATCACAGAACTGGCCTGGCGGGGCTGCAGCCCCCTGCCTGGGGGGTCAGGGGAGGGGCCCCCACACACCCCAGATTCCAAGAGTCTCAGAGGCGTGTTGAAGAGATGCCTGCAACTCCGCGTGGGGAGAGACGCTCACCACAGCCCCACCCGAGTGGGGGCCGGGAGCAGAGGCTGTCGCTGGGTTAACCCCCCGTGTGACCCTGAGGGGGTTATTAGACCCCAGGCCTCGTTTTCTCTGCGTGTGAAAGGGAGCCGAGGCTGCCGCCCAGCTCACAGGACTAATGTCGGCCGTGCGTTCACCCACGGAAAGTGTCAGCAGCACTGTCTGCACCACTCAAGAGCCGCCCTTATCAGTGGGGAGGTGACCGGCCAGGAGCGGGGGGAGACAGCTGCGGGTTGGGACCAGCAAACGCGAGCTGGGTTGAAGATGACCCCGAGTGTCACTGCGTTGAGCCCCAAGCAGCTATACCCAGAGTCCCCTCCCCAGCCCCCCCCCCCAGGCCTCCTCAATGAAAGCAGCTTTATCTCCTTTGTCCACAGGCTTGATAGGCGCTCCCAAGAGAGAGACCTGGCTACAGCTCCGAGCTGAGCTGGAGGCCCTGACTGACCTCTGGCTGACCCACTCCCTGAAGGCATTAAACCTCATCAATTCCCGGTAGGTGGAACCCCATTTTCCTCCGTGCCCCTGGGTTTTCTCCCAATCAAGAGCGGTGGCTCCTCTGTGTCCACACTCGGGGGAACTGGTCTCACCCAGTGCTCACTCCTGGACTTCTCAGACAAAGTTGAGGTGGGCTCCTGGTGTCAGAGCCCAGCAAACAGCTGAGAGACTCCTCAGGGGCCAGCAGAGCTAAGATCCTTATGTATATGTCCATCTTGTGCCATTCTCAGCTGCCCTTCACAACATCATCTCCTGAGACCCACTTTCTACTATGGCACAGACCATCTGACAAGTACCTAGTGGGGGGAGAAGACCCCCCCCAACAAAATTTTTGCCTCTTGCTCTTAAGGTCATATGGGCCAGATAACAATGACCCCCCCGTGCCAACATCGAAAAATCATGTGTCCCAGTACAGCAGTGACGACCACGTGGCATCCCATAAGCCAAGTTCATCCTGCTGATGCATTTTGACCCCATAGTTTGTCCCAAAGACTCAGGAAAGTCATCCACAGCTTCAGGTGTCTGGGTTCTCTCAAAACCATAAGGACCAGCCTGTACCCGCCTGATTACCCCAATCTCCACCTCTTCCTGTTCCATGGACACTGACTAGACCACAAGGCCCCTACAGTTACTTAAGTGAGTAAATATGAATTGCATATGCCCTTGCAATAAACATGTGGTTTTTTTGTTTTTTTGTTTTTAAGATTTATTTATTTGTGCATA